TGCTCAATCATCGTTATCCTGGGGGTACCACCTTCCAGACTGGGAACCTTGGTAAGACCATCCATCTGCCCAGTCTGCCCCTTCCCAGCACTCCGGGTGATGGCTCCCTTTGAGTCTGGATGGAGACCCTCGCTAAACAGGCCTGCTGTTTGATGCTTAGTATGCAACACTGGAGTGGTCCTCATCTGTTACAGATTCTGTCTTTGCACCCCAGATAGATTGTGGGCCCTGCAAAGTAAGACCACACTTCACACCGGTGTTTCTCAAATACATCCACCAGGAGATCTCCTTACATCACAAGTTCTGATTCAGAGGGTTCACGTGAGGCCCAAGATTTGCATTTCTAACATGCTTCCGGCATACTGATGGTTCTGGTCCCTGGCAAGAAGCTAGCTCTATCTGCATCCTCTGTGGTTGGCATGGCGCTTTCCCCACAACAGTCATTCAGTAAATGTGGATTGTGAAGGGGTTCAATTGTTTTTTGTTTTGTTTGGCAAACAGGTACAAGAACTGGGCAGGATGGTCTGCCCCGCAGGCTAACATTCTAAGTCAGATTTGGGACTCATCTAGATAAAGAAGCTGTTGAATATGGAATTGCTCTGACTGTACCAATCACTTTCTTATATGAGGCAAACTTCAAATAGTTCATGGGAAATGGAATCAAAAGGTAGAGGCCAATTCCCACTGGGGGTGACCTCATGTGTTTCAAAGGAGAACGGGGCTCCAGAGGGGCTCCTGTTATTGATTTGATTTTTTTTTGGAAGTAGAGTCCCACCTTTCTTTCAAGGTGCTCTGGGTGGACTTGACCACCCTCTCTTTCTGTTAGCAGCCAAGTGCGTTACTGTCACCATGAGGAAGAGTCGATTTGATGGCAGACATAGGGGAATATAAATAAATATATTTTGGGGAAGCTTCCAAGATAGAAAGTTAGTAAAATATCTTTCCACCACCTTGAAAGCAATGGACTCATACTGTGATATACACCAGTACTACATTTCTTATACTAGGAACATGTCAAGCCACGGTTATGCTCTTTAAAGGAAAAGGTGCTATTCAGTCTAGGCGATGAATATGTAAGTATTTATTGAGTGCTTCTCTTGGCTTTTATAGTATGTTTAAGATTTGGGGTAGGGTTAGATGAAGCTCACTCGACTTTCTCTGCTGGCAAGCAACTAACATCGCAGCGATCCCAGGACTCTGAAAAGTCAAGGTCAGCAGGTGGATTGGGGAAGGAAACCCAAACTCAAACAGGAATGATCTGGCAGCGGATTTCCCATGCTAGCCAGCTTGGACTCCGAGGCCATATGAGTGATGGCCCTGCACCCTGGGTACCGAAAGGAAGACTGCCAAGAAGAGCCTGCCTTTGGGTTCTAAGGAGTATAAAGGGCCCCACTAAGATAGAGAAAGTGGAAGAGATCCTTTCATGTTCCTCTTTTGTCCTTGCCCCAGACGTGCCTTGATCCCAAAGCTGTAGCCCCAAGCTAGCAGGGTTAGCAGTAGTGCTCACACAGGCACCTAAAACTCTGATGGAGAATTCTCCTTGACAAGAGGAACTAGAGATATAGACGTGCATGTGCCAGGGGGCGTGTGTGTGTGTGTGTGTGTGTGTGTGTGTGTGTGTGTGTGTGTGTCTCGGGGGGAATCCTGGTTTTTCTCTCTCTACCTTCTCTTTATTTGATCCATGAAGCAGATCTAATTCTGGGAAGTATCCAGACAAGTTGGGAAGCTACACTCTGGCCAGAAAGCGCAAGAAAACCAAACTCACTGCGCCATTGAGTTGATTTCGACTCAAGGAGCACTGGTGGCATAGTGGCTACACATTGGGCTCCTAACCTAAGGTGACCAGACGTCCCACTTTTGGCGAGACAGTCCCGATTTTTAACAAATTTTCCTGTGTCCCATAGCATTTTTAAAAAGTCCCAATTTTTGGAAAGAATGCACGACAAGGTAGGGTATATTTCGGCTGCCATGTGGCTATTTCACCAGGATATGAGTTTTATCAATGGCGTCCCGCTTTACCAATGTTCAAATCTGGTCACCTTATACTAACTACACAGTCAACAGTTTGAAATCACCAGCCGGTACATGGAGAAAGTGGGGCTTTCTACTCCCATAAAATGTTACAGTCTCAGAAACTCACAGGGGCAGTTCGACCCTGTCCTACAAGGTCCTCTAAGTTCTAGCCAGAAGACCAGGAAAAGGTGGAAGCAGAGTGCAGGAACTGACAAATGTAGGGGTGGTGGTGGAGGAGTGATCATGAGGAGAAGAAAGTACAAGCAAGGGGTCCCTAATCTGAATACGTACTCCTAAGCATCTTATGGTTTTTACCCCCAGACAGCATAGCCAAGACTTGAGAACTAAACTACAGGGCAAATCACTGACCAGATCTCAGACTAGTCCTGGATGCTGCTGCACATGTGGGAAATAGCAATGTAAAAGCTTTACATTGTGATTTTAATGATAGACTGACTTGAGCTGGTCTCACTCATACATCTTCCAAACATTTACTACTAAGCCCAGGAAGCATGAAGGTCAAGCAAGTCTGAACATCGCTCTCTAGAATGCCATGGTCGGCCACCTCTTTCTCTCCTAGAGTGGCTAGAGAGAAACTAGACCTGCTCTGTGGGAATCTTCTGAAAAGTCTGGCGTTAAGAGCCATCGTTTACCGGATTAAGAACAAAGAGCCAGCTGCTTCTGAAACTGGAAATGGTAAGCGTCATGTTGGACCACTGAAGCCCAAGTGGTTTCCTTGTGCCATGTTAAGCATTCAGGGAAGGTGAGAAAAGCAGGTTAAAAAAAAACACTTCAGGAAGGGGTTTATCATATAGCTAGGCAATGGGTAAAGGTGATTCATGGTCAACGGCTCAGATAAACCAAACAACACATCAGCTATGGGTGAGTCATTCCCAACTCAGGATGCCTTTATGGGGTTCAGAGCAGAACTGTGCTCCGCAGGGTTTCCCAGGCCCGTAACTTTCAGAAGCAAAGCACTAGATCTTTCCTTCAAGGTATCTCCAGGTGGCTGCAAACGTTCAACCTTTTCAATGATTCGCCAAACACTTGATCATCTGTGCCACACAGGGATTCAAAAATCCGACCAGCAGGGTTCAAAATCTGACTCCAATTCATTTTAGTTGTAATCTCTTTAGCCTCTCTGGGTTGCAAGTTTCTCACCTGAAAATTATTATTATGATAACGATATTTTCCCACAAGAGTGTACATACCCACTGCTGATTCCAACTCATGGCAACTCTACAGGACCGAGCAGAACTGCACCTCAGAGTTTTCCAGACTTAAATGTTCTTTTTAAATATTTTTATTGGGGGCTCACACAACTCTTATCACAATCCATACATACATCAATTGTGTAAAGCACATTAGTACATTCATTGCCCTCATCATTCTCAAAACATTTGCTCTCCACTTAAGCCCCCAGCATCAGGTCCTCATTTTGTCCCCCTTGCTCCCTCCTCCCTCATGAGCCCTTGATAATTTATAAATTGTTATTTTGTCATATCCCGCCCTGTCCGACGTCTCCCTTCACCCACTTTTCGGTTGTCCATCCCCCAGGGAGGAAGTCACATAGAGATCCTTGTAATCGGGTCCCTCTTTCCAACCCACTCTCCCTCTACCCTCCCAGTATCGCCACTCACACCACTGGTCCTGAAGGAATCATCCACCATGAATTCCCTGTGTTTCCAGTTCCTAGCTGTACCAGTGTACATCCTCTGGTCTAGCCAGACTTGCAAGGTAGAATTCGGACTATGATAGTGGCAGGGGGAGTGGGGAAGGAAGCATTTAGGAACTAGAGGAAAGGTGTATTTTTAATTGGATCATTTGTTGTTCCCTTGTCCCTGGGTTTGTTAACACCACTTCCTTTCCCCCCACCCCACCCCTATCCCATGTCCCCACAGAACTGTTGGTCCCGTTGTTTTCTCCTCCAGATTGTTCATCCAGCGTATCTTATTTAGATAGACCTGTGGAGATAATAGCAGAACAAAAACAAGACAGAGCAAAACCAAGCAACAATATACAACAAAACAACAACAACAAACCAATGACAAAAAACAAAACCAAACACAACAAGAAAGAAAAGCTTGTAGTTAGTTCAAGGATCGTTTGTTGGCCTTTAGGAGTGTTTTCCAGTCCAGTCTGTTGGGGCACCGTGTCCTGGCCCCAAAGTCCACCTTCAGCATTCCCTGGGGACCTCACCGCTCCATTCCCTTGCTGTTCTGTTGCACCTTAGTGTTTGCCTCGGTGTGGTGGGATCAGATCAGGTGCAATTCCCACACTGTGTCTCAGGTATTGTCCCCTGTAGGGCTATGGGTCAGTCATGTCTCAGAGTGAGCAGCCCAACTCCTAACCCACCACACCACCATCTCAAAAATCTTAAGACTAGTGTCTGGTGCAGTCTGTGTTTAATACAGATTTCACAGGGGCAAGTGAAGGCTTATTGCCCTTAAGGCAAGTTAGATTCTGTTTTCTATATCACAGACTATACTCTAGACAACCATCTTATAATGCTACAATGCATGCTATTGTGCAGAAGGTTAATATGAGAAAATGAGGGAAGGCCTCTGGGTAATGAGTAAACAATGTAATCAGCAAGTACAAAAGCATATACACTCAACCCATTTCCGCTGACTTGCTTCTGATTCCAGTGACCCTATGGGGCAGAGTAGAACTGCCCGATAGGGTATGAATCTTCAAGGAAGCTGAATGCTACCTCTTTCTCTCTTGGAGTGGCCAGTGTGTTTGAACTTCCAACCTTTTGGTTAGCAGTCAAGTGCTTAATCACCATTCCACCAGGGGTTCTTGCATATACTGTGCATTCAAATAGACTAGTCCAAAATGAAAAGTCCAACATAAAGATTATGTGTGTGCGCGCGCACACACGCGCGCGCAGACAAGCCATCTGAGTGATTAGATTCTCCCCTCTTCGCTGTAAAACTTACACTGGTTATGCTCCAACCCAATCTACCCAAGGAAGATGAGCTTACCTTATCAGCAACATCTACCCTGGCTTTGTGATTAAGCAAGAAGTTCACTGCAGAGAAATGATTCCTCCCCACCGCAAAGTGCAGCGCTGTGCAGTTCATCTGAGGAAACATAAGTTGTATTTTAGTATGTTTAACACCTTGAATAAGATGCCCAGGTGGCTCAGTGGGTTAAGTTTTCTAACCGAGAGGTTGGCAGTGGGAATCCATCAACCACTCTCTGGGAGAAAGACCTGACCTGACAGCCTTGGAAACCCCCTGGGGTGGTTGGGCCCTGTCCTGTAGGGACATTAGGACAAAGATAAGGCTTTCATTAGGAGAAAGATGAGTTGGACTTGACTGTTAACAATGAGTTCGATGAATGGTCATACTTTTCAGAAATTTAGCCTTTTGATTATTTTGCTTTACTCCTTGCTTTTGCCTTTGGAAAGCAGTAAGACTTGTGACCATCGGGTTCCCACCTGTAGCCATCATCAGACAACATTAGAGAACTGTCATCCAGGGGAGGTAAGGCTTCAAGCTGAAACGCACTGCATAACCGTCACTGCAGTAATATAATGAATTTCATTTCGAGACTAAATCAATAATTGTAAATATTTTTGGCTTCCCCAAAACCAAACTCATTGCCATTGATTCATTAATAATAATAATAATAAAAAGCAGCACTGCCATCTAGTCAATTCACAGCGACCCTATAGACGCAATAGGACTGTTCCTGTTGATTTCTGAGACTGTCATATTTAAAGGAATAGAAAGTCTAATCTTCTCCCACAGAGCAGCTGGTGGTTTTGAACTGCTGACCTGGTGGATAGGGGCTGAATGCATAACCAACTCTGCCACCAGGACCCCATGAGGCAACCCTAAAACCAGGGGAGAACTGCTCCATGGAGTTTCTGAGGCTGTTAATCTTTATGAAAGCAGACGGCCTCATCTCTCTCCCTTACAGTGACTGATGGGTGCCAACCATTCAGCTTAACCCACCGTCACCAGGGTTCCTTTACTGCTTAGCAACTGCAGATAGATAACACCAAACCCACACCAAACTCACTGCCATCGAGTCCGCGCTGACGCACAGCACCCCCTGTGGGAATAGAAAGCCCAGTCTTTGTCCCGAGGAGTTGCTGGTGGTTTCAAACTGCTAACCATGTGGATTGCAGCCCAACATGTAACCACCAAACGACCAGGGCTCCTACAGATAATACATAACAATCATTTTCTTTTTTTTCCATGTTTCTTTTTTTTTTAAATCATTTTATTAGGGGCTCATACAACTCTTATCACAATCCATACACACATCAATTGTGTAAAGCGCACTTATACATTCATTGCCCCCATCATTCTCAAAACATTTCCTCTCCACTTAAGCCCCCGGCATTAGGTCCTCATTTTTCCCCTCCCT